TGTATATATATATTAGTAGTCATGATAACAACGATAATAAATTGTAATTATGTAGTTCTCTATCCCATACATGTATAAGCGTTGAACGCCTCTAATATACTTATAGATATACTATTAGGGGTTTGGTGTAAAGGTTCGGGTTATGGTTAAGATTAGGGTTAGGGGTTAGGGGTTAGGGGTTAGAGGTTAGGTAGAGGGTTGAGGTTAAGGTTAGAGTTAAGGTTTAGGGTTAGGATTAGGGTTAGGGGTAGTAGGTAGGGGCAGGATTAGGGTTAGGGGGTAGGGGTGGGGGTCAGGGTTCGGGTTTGGGGTTAGGTTAGGGGTTTTACGTCTAGGATTAGGGTTAGGGTGCGTAAGAGGTTGAAATTTAGAGGTTAAAAGTTAGGGAAAGTCACCAGACTTTGGCGGCCTTTTTCTCGCTAATTTTACCTCTGAAACCAGGCGACCTCAACTTTCAATCACAAATACCATGAATTTTATTCAAAATGAATTGGCATTTTTTATTCAAACGCAAGACAGATAAACAAGATTTATGATGGTACATGTACTAATAACTCCATATGCCCAAAAACTGACCTCGCCATATTGGGATAAAAGTTTTGGGTTTGGATCATTATTTTTGTTTTTAGAGAATAAGTTGGGAGAGGGTAGATTTCCCAGTTTTGTAGAGCCCTCCGTTCACTCAGTTGATATCATGCTGGACAACGTTGCGGATGGGCCAGGTTCAAATCCCAGACTGGGTGTTCTTGAACTATGGCTGGTTTGTAGAGTTTTCAAGACTCTCAGTCTATTTGGCTCAGTCCTGTGTTGATAGGGGTGTTAAACCTATACTAAGAGAGAGAGTTTTAGTTTTAGTAAGAGTTTTACGACACTTGTAACACAATAAGGTCATACAAGTGCCGAAGAAAAGATGTGTTACAAGAGAATAACATGCGCAAAAAAAGGAGGAGAGATAAGGACGATAGATGTTTGATAGGAAAGAAGGAGTAATCCACATCAAAGCATCCGCTAACCACTCACTGAGAGGGGAGGGGGTGGGGAAAGAGGGAGGGGAGAGGGAGGGGGAGAGGCGGGGGCGAGAGAGAGAGGGAGAAAGAGAGAGAAAGAGAGAGAGAGAGAGAGAGAGAGAGA